GTGCTTAGCTGTGCATAAGTAGTTTGGATGTGTGCATTCATGTGTTGCGTGGCAAGTGCTGTTATGTATAGGTGAATTGGTATAAATCCACTCTGTGCACAAATTCACCAATAAAAAACGACACATGCATGAACACAGTAACGTGCATGCATACACACTATATCAATAATTTTGCCTTAATTGTTATGTAATTTTGCCTTCCTGACAGTCATAAAAATGACGAGCTGAAAATGGTCGGTTAAAATTGTTTTCTGAGGCCACTAAAACTGTAATTTGCACATGTCCAATTATGCTCAATTTCCAAACCAAAAATGATGATCAGGGCTATATTTCTGCAAGACTAAGAGTTCCAATTGGTGGTTGGAAAAAGTGAGAATTATAGTTGTAAATATTTCTCGGGGGAACGTGAATCATACATATAGGTATTTGTGATTCCTAGTCATGTTGCCTCATACTTTTTGTCAGAAAAAACAAATGTAGGTCAAAAACAAGGGCATCTATTGCTAAATCATGTATTAAGTAACATTAGCTTGTAGTGTAAACTGGCCCTTTAATCTATTGAAAATGTGAACTTTTTATAGTGGCCTGTGTCTGTGAGAGGGTAGTAGAGGAAACCTATTGTCAAAGTTGTATGCTCCTCATTATTTTCATCCTATAACTTCTTTCAAAAAGATTGACAATATGCCTATGACAAACACAGCAGCATAGCATAATGTATACAATAAGCTTTCTAATAGAGGTTTTCTATGGCAACACAATGAATGTTCATTACAGCGAGTCTATTGTTATTGTATAACATCAGGGCAGCCTCCAAATGAGCACATCACAACAGAACATACTTCAGCGTGCAAAGGAAACACATCCTGCCTTTGAGTGACGTTATTTTTGGAATCATGCTTGAGATAAGCCGGCAAAGCAGTCTGAATAGGTCTTTTGTATCAGACAATCCCAGAATGAAGAGAAAGAAAAGCAAGAGCCATCCAATGACATATTTTTGTCTCAACTGTGAATATTATCGACATTTCTCTTTTGTTCCCTCTGTCGGTCTCTCAGAGCTCGGTGTTCTGCTTTTGCTGCCTTTAGTGCTGAAGATACCAGCAAGTCATTGCTGTTGCAAAAATGTCTTAATATATTTACTAGTGCTGTAAATTTACAAGTATATATATATTTTGTATGTCATTGATGTTACTAATCATATGTTGCAGCTCGGTACATGTATTTTTTCCTGCTTTTAGCCTTACGTTGGTTGGGAAGGGATTATTCAAGAGAGCAACGATGTCTGTACTGTGTGAATGTTTAGTGATAAAGACAGAGGATGATACTGAAACCGGTCTCTTGCCTGGGAGCAACGGGAAGATATTATTTGCTTTAGTTATTTGTTCAGTTAACAGCAGTAACGCTATATCAGTTTTGCCCCAAAGTAAATATGTTATACAGTCACTAATGATGCTCATCTAACTTTGACAGTGTTCACAGCCATCCAAAGATCCCCTTAATGCCCTCTGTTTATATGAAGGAAGAACGGTTAAAGGGAAAAGCACTGCTTCAGTTTTACCGTGGTGATGTGTGCAAACTGGAATATTCAATGCAATTACGATATCAAGGAAAATCTGTAAAAACAAAATGTTTGATCACTGAGTGTTTTTTAAAGGTTACAGTGAGGAAGATGAATCTGCAGGTGCTTTATATGTTCAGGCTTACTGTACTGGTGTTTACCACATTGTGTCTGCAATCTCTTTCTTTTCTTTTTTTGCCAGTTCACAATAAGCTTATTCTTAATGTAGTGTAAAGGTTTGCAACTCTCATTTCAAGCTTATAAATGTTAAAGACACTTTACAGCAAGCACTTTACACACACACACACACACACACACACACACACACATATATAAAGATATATCATGTTTAAAATAGTACTCAGATGTTTGTATTTTGGACTAAATCAAGTATATGAATAGCCTTTTATTTTAAAATAGCATTATTATTTTTATTTAGCACAATGATCAGACAATTTTAATATTGTTAAGCTTCAGTTTTGTCCTACAAATTTGACATTTATGGACATATTTTACACTACCAGATTCATAGAATGATGTACTGTAATGGTGTATTTAATGTTTCCTATAGGATTATGGATACATAAAGCAGATAGATGTAGTATTTTATGAAGTTGTATACAAATATAGGCAACGTGAAATGGTTAAACTGTAACTCTTACAGTTCTCTTACTATGTGATTTGAGCATTTCATCATTAAAAAGTCAATTTGAAGGTGCTACAATGTTTTATAATGATGTGTTTTGATAACCATCTTTTTTGCTTTGCACAGGATCAAGGTTGGCTTTTGTCGATCTGTTAAGCCTGTAAGTAATCTTGAGCTGGAATTTGTGCTGGTTGTATCTTCTTTTTTTTTTAATACAGAGTGTCCCTCTTGACATTTTTCAGATTGTTGAGAAAATAGTTTAATTCTTGACCTAAGTAAAGCATCAGACTTTGTTCAGTGGCTCCACTCTATATTTCTTTCCGTGTGTTATTTATCTATCTGTCGAGCCCTTAGATCCTCCCACCACCTAATCTGACCACGGTGGAGGGGCAGCATGAGTAATGTGTGCACTGTTATTCTCTGACATGTGTCACGACTTGTCAAACTGGAGATATTCAAACTATTCTACTTGTCAGAATCAGAAACAGCTGCATTGCAGATGCATTTCATAGCATATGTGGAAAACTGAACACCATGATTCGTCATTTTACTTTAGCTTCATAATCGATAGGACTTTGACCCCCCCCCCGTCCATCCAACCCCCGACTTTGGAGCCACTGTCTTTATCTGTAAGCTGCTGTTTTACTGACGGCCAAAATGTGTTGATCTTGATGAGCCTTTCTGGTGTTGTATGTGTGATCGATGAGCCTTCAAAAATGTACACAATAAATGTATAGACAGCCTCTAAATCAAATTGTGCATGTTTTTTTTTTTTGTAATAAGTTGTCCACAGAAATAAAATAAAGCATTTCAACGTTATGTTTTACATTTCTAATTATGCTTTCAAAATAATTTGAATGTGTTTTTGAAAACACCCCTTAAAATGTCCCCGGTATTATATTTGGCAAATCATTCATTATCAGTGTTGGTAAAGCAAAAGTAAATGAAACAAATTTGATTTTCTCTTAGATTCCACTTATCAAAATCATGTTACTGGTTGTAATTTACAACATAATGTTATCAAGGATTCAATTTAAAATGTTACACTCTAAACTTTATTTAAAAGACCTCCTTAACTCAATGCCAACTGTTTCATTAAAAGTACACGAGCAGCATACTGCAAAGCAAAGGTCAGCTCAGATCAGCACTCAGTGGAGGAAGAGGATGTTAATGAAGAAAATGTACAGACCAATGTGGAAGGCAAATTATATTTGTGTGTCTGAGAGAAAAATAAGCGTTTTATGCATGCATGTGCGGTGATGGTAGGGTGGACAATGTGTACTTGTTTGTGAGCAACACAGGGCCACTGTGTGAGTGAGTCCATAAATGTGTGATTCTCTCTCTCTCCCTATCTTTCTCTCTCTGCCTGCTGCTGGAGTAAGTGGAGAGGAAATGGCTGCAGAAACAGTTGTGCATCGGAGGAAAGCATATTGGACAATTAAGACAGAGGCTGAGTATTGCCCTGCTCTGTGTGGGGCTGATTGAATCAGAGAGACAGACACTCACAGCTCTTCGTCTCAGGACATTGCAGGTAATTACCCATAAGTCACTGTTCCCCTGTATTGGATCTTCAGCCCAATTACGCCCACACAGTTAGTCCACCTCGGCTTCATTTATTACCTCCGGATGCTTGTTGACCTTTTCAGACACACAGTCAGACAGGCAATTCAGATGCATTACACAGAGGACAGGGTGTTGCACCTTGAGACCTGAAGACATGTTCACAGGCTGCAAGCTGTATGTTGATACCATTATATTAGTGTTGCAAAATGAGGTTAAGATGCTTCTCTTGTAGGTGGCACATTAGTAAAAAAAACACAAACAAATAATACCACAACAACAAACCAATTGGACTGTTTAATTTGAAAAGAAAAAGATCTTGTGTTTTCCACTGCTATATACTTTGGATGATATCATCAAAACTAAAAATGCATCAGCAATCTACAATTAGTGCATGCATACATGTCACATACAAGATACACAGTTAAGGAACTAAATATAAGACCACATCTGGCAAACTGGATTTTGTCTTTCATTTTCCATTTGAAATAACTTCCACTTAACTGAAAGCATTTTCTGAAATGATGAGCCCACTCTCTTCTCCTGTGGACTACTTGTGCTGCACCAGACATGTGACATAAGCGTGCATGTACAAATCAGGATACCTTGAACCACCAGAAAGTCAATAGCATTTGTTTGCACATGTTTACAGAGGAAAATGGAGACATAAAGCCAATATTAACAATCTAGAACAGTCAATTAAAATTAATGTAACTTAAGTAAATGCTTTAAACTCAAAGTATACTTGTGTTAAAAGCCCTCTTGGTGGAGTTTTCAAAGAAGTTGGTAAACCCACAGTATATGAGCCCATTTGCTCTTTAAACTCTCAGCTGGTTTATTGTGCAGACCTTCATCGCCATCTGCTGACAAACACTATAAAAGACAGTTTAAAAGCAATCTTTATGTAAATCTTAATAATGTATTCATGAAAATAATTTAATCTACTTAAAAACAATAAGGGGGACAAAGACTTAAGATCTGTTTATTAGTGTTAAATGGCATGCTCTTATGTAGATCATGATTGTACAAGTATTGCAGGTAATATGATCTCTCTGCTTTGTTGAAGTCACATGCGTCCATGCTCCTCAGACATGTGCAGGATAGTTGTCAAATACCACCCAGAGGCACTCCCCCCAGACCTTATGTCTTACACAGCACATTTTAAAGTCTGTCTGTTAAATGTATACCTTCACTGCTGACTATTATGTTTATCTTTGACAAGAACAGACACACACGCTCTAACAGTAACTCAACAATCTTTATTCAGCGCTCAGTTTCCATGCTTGACAGCCTTAACATAATACAGTTCTCCGTGCAAGCATCAAGTTTTCAAGGTTACTCTTATCTTCCCAAAAAAACCATCATTAAGTACAGAGTGTATTCCAACAGTCATTGCTTCACTCTCATTTTCCCTCTACCCTTTTCTAAACAATAGTCTTGTTTTTTTCTTTTTTAATGTGCGCTATTTGCAACCTACAGTAGCCTACTTAGCAAGTCTAGAAAATGCGGGGAAACATATACAGGGAAGCCATCTAAAAACATTTTGCATTTTGTGGTAAAAAGCCACAGCTGATATATAGTGTAAGGCTTGCATACAAAAAGAAAAGCATTCATGGTAATTACTGCTGAGGTATTTGCTCAAGAACAATGATTAATAGTTGACTTTTTAGACTTGGTTCAAAATGTTTTTTTAAGGATAAATGTGGCGTAAACTACAATCTTTTTACTGATTCTTGGTGATTACCTAATTTGCAGAATGTGATGTCAATTGCCTTTTTTAGAATTTGCAGATTATATCAATTTCTTCTGGGTTGTCAAACATATTTAGATTCTGAACTTTAAAATGTTCAAAGGGTTTATCATGTCCCTGAACTACCTTCTCCTCCCTCTCCTGCCTGACTTCATACAGACACCACTAGAGCATAGTTTATGCGCCTGGTTTCATAACGGAAGGAGAGAGCAAAATGGAGAAGGCCGTTTATAAACATGAAAACCGCAATATCCTGGAAAAGGACGAGAGCAACCCACCTACAGACATGCAGTGGCAGGTGAAACATTATATTCTTAATGCAAAACCAAATTATTTGCATATTTATTGCCAATTGTAATTTATATTATCCTTCTTCAGTGTAATGTTGGACTCATGTTTATCTATCCCAAATGCATTCTATGAGGGATTGCTCGTTCCTCTCCCAGGGTAATACTTGTTGGTAAAGAGAGCGCTTGGCCCCGGTGTTTCTAGCTGGTTTCAAAATGAGGCTGATTTCCGAGGCAGCCTACAGCTGCTCTCATCCTCAGCTCACACCTGGGGGTCAGGCTCATTGGGTTGGCTGAGGCTGCTGTCAGTCAGCAGGAGGCGGGCGTCACTGTCAGGTCTCCCTAACATTGACTGCATCGCCTATCAGTCCGTGTCACTGTCAGGAGGCGGGCAACGCCTCGTCACAGTGTCACAGACTGACTGGCTGCTCACTTCCTGTTTCACCAAACAGCCTGCGTCAGTGTCAGCATCAGCTGGCCTTAGGAGAGGCTTCATTGTCAGAGCCTGCTGTCCACTGTCAGCTGTGCTTTGACTTTCACCCAGCCTTCTCTGCTACTCAGGGCCTGACAAAGGCCACATGTGCCTGCTGTGCCATCTGCTGCTCATTCACTGCTTGCTGGCCTACATCTAACTGATCTTGCCTTTGTGAATCCCCACCAAGTTGCTGATGCCCCTGTTGTCTAACACCTTGCTGATCAGCTCCATCATGGTTTCCATGGTGTTGACCATGGCTGTGAGCATGGCCATGGTGATGTCCATGATGGTGAGCATGCCCAGTGTCTCCCTCTACGGCTGGGGCAGTGTCAGGCTGTGTGTCTGCATTCCCCTTGCACTCCTCTGCTGCCTCAGTGCTCTGTGGAGAGGTAGGGAGAAGAGAAAATAGATCCAAAGGGATTTCAGTAAATGTTCATATCTTTGATTGAATGTGTTCCAACATGCTTATTGAGGACTTGTATAATGTGTTGTTTGTTTTATTGTATTCTTGCACTTATGTTTGGTTAATACCTCATATCTGCAGTCGCCACATATGCGTTTGCAGTAGGTGTCTTTGATCGCACTATCAACATGTCCTTGTCCGATGATGGAGTATGGAAGAGAAATGTGGTGGGTGAGACGGCCACACCTGATGGATAAAGGATAGAAAAAGACATGGTAAGAAACAGAATTGATTTCCTTTGTGGATTTTGAATGAACTAACCAGGTAACAAACCTGTCATAAATGAGAAAGTCGTCCTTCTCCCCGCCCAGTTCCTTCCAGACATCAGGCTGTTGCTCAACCTGCTTGTAGAGTGTGATGTTCTCTGACAGTCTCTGCTCCAGCATGGTGTGCAGGCGCTGTGCTTGCTCCCCCTGTTGGTTAACCACCATGTACACAACGTCCTTCAGACCCTGACTCTCCAGCTTCTGGCGCAGGCCGTCCATTCTGCTCAGATGAGATAAATCGTAGTTTAGAATGAATGTGTTAATCAAGCTCACCTAGATACTTTGCTTATAACAAACAAGCATGAACATGATACACTTCTTTGATAGTTATCTTTTTCATAGTTGCATAAGAAAGACTAGTCTGGGCCAGCTGTACCTTGCTGCCAACTTGGCAAGCTTTTCAAAATGAGCCATAACATTTAATTGTGGATGTTAAATATCTAATAACATTAAAGAAACACTTAATGAATAACCACATAGTGTGTGAATGTCATGCTTTGTCACATTTAGGGCTCTAGTTGCGATGAAATGCAAACTGTTTTTTTTTCTTGAAAGACAGAAGTGCATAACAACAGGTTGAGGTACAAATTGGTTAACACACAGTGGGTGCATACCTGGAAGCCTGCACCAAGCAGAATAATCAGCTGGCCTGTAAAAGAGCCACCACCGTCACGTGGCCCATCGCCCCCTGCATTGGCCCCTGCTCCCCTATCTTCCAGGCTGGAGGCAGCTGACAGCGAGGCCCTCCCCCATCGCTCTCTGCTCCGCCCCCATGGAGCAGGCAGAGAGTGATGAGCAGACTGAGGCACACCCTCATCCCTGTGGTGCCTCCCAAATCTGCTGAGCACAGAGAAAGGGGATAGTTGTGAGGAGATGGGGGGAGGAGTTAGGGAAATGTTGAAATAAGGGAAAAGGGGGGGTGGGACATCAGAGATTGGTCAATCTTTGTTTGTGATAGGATTGTACAAAAGTTCACTAAAGGTTATCTATTTTACATTCTCCAAATCCTCCAACGATAATTCTAAAATGACTGTATATAACTAAATAACTATAGCAGAGTTTGTATGGCTAAATAGAACGAACCAGCACACAAGCAGGAATAATGCTTGAGTGTTGAAAGCATAAAGCTTAACATTTCTACAAAGTATTACAACATGCATTACATGAAATATAACATAAAGTAGGATATGGTTCTGTGGCTGGTATAAGTAGGATACATTGACACTGCATTCAAAATAAGAACATTTATAAACGATATTTTTGCAATAATAATAGGTCCTGTCTCATATATCCATTTAATAATCACAGCTGTAAATGAAATGTAATGACTTTGGTCACTTACCCTTAGTTTAAAAAGTTCCCTTCTCTCTGCTCGGTTCTGCGTTGCTGCAACTCCCTGAACAAAACAAGTCTCTTCCTCCACTTCTCCCCCCTTTTATACCCTGCCTGTTGTTTTCCTATCTGGGGGTAGGACAAAGTTCAGCCCCAGCTGCCTGCTGATGCAAACACTTTTCTTGAGTTAAAAAAGTCACAGTGCATAAAAATCCTTTTTGACAGTGTACAAAGAGTTATTCAGTGTAGAATATTTTGCAACAACTGGCAGTTTGACAAATTCCTTCAAGAGGATAGTATTTCGAGAAGAGTTGCCTCTCATACTGCTGGTTAAGATATGGCAGCCGTGTAGATAATGCATGTATTTGCATTGTGAATGAACTGGTTTTACATTGTGTTATTTATATTAAAGAGTTCATGAGTCTTCATGAACATAGAAGAACATTGTGCAATTCTATTTTTCACTAACAGCACAGAGAGGGGGACGTGAAAAGGACAGGGGGTGGGACTCTAGTCAGTTGTGGGAAGGGTCCACAAGGAACACAGCCAGACAATATACACAAGTGCGTGATTAAAGCATTCTGGAGTAAAGTATCCTTCAGTTTGGTACACGGACAGTAGAAGCAGGACAATATTAGTATGTATTGAGTGTACTGAAAATGGGAGCTCATGTATACAAATAATATAGTTCAGGGTAAAATAAAAAGTATAGTAAGCTGAGCAAGCAAGTAGGTAAAATATTTGTATGAACATCATACATCAGGGATTTGGGAGGGCCAAAGAATGACAAAAGACAGCAGCTTCCTTAAAAAAATATATTCAAATGTTCCCTAATGCATAGCTTCAGTTGATCTACCAAAATATTCTGGAGACACATGCATTAAAGGGGACAGTTCATCTGCAGTTACAGTATATAAAATAGCTGTAAACAGCCAGTCCAATCTTGCAGGTTAGTTGTCTCTCTGCAGATGAAGGTCATGCTATAAGATTGCTAAAGTCAGTTTTAAACTAGGCCAACAAATGTAGTGTTAAACAATAAATACAATGTTTTTAAACATGTGTTAATGCAAGCTATTGTGGTGAAAAGTGCAGGGAATGGACAAAATAAAAGTGCAAGCTGCACAATATGACAGAAGTGAATATTATACATTTTTTTTTTCTTATAACATGGTTTGGTCTCAAGTAAACATCTCAATGCAGATTTGACCCTGCTTATACAGTAACACTGATACATAAACTGTGTCATACATTGCAATATACATTAATCTAGTCTTTCTGTAACAGGCTCTAACATTTAAGGTCATTGTGGGGTTATTTTTTAAGCATTGTCATTCTTCTCACTATTGAATCAGTAGATGATACATGTGCCATTTAATACACCTGAATACACTTGCATTATTTGGTAGTTAGTTTGCTAAACGTTGATAAAGAAGAAAAGCTAGAGTCGTCACCATAGACTGTATAAAGGTCGTCACTCACCGCCGTCACTAAGCAACGCTTTTCCGCGTCTTTGAATTCGCAATGGCTTCTGGGAATCCGAGGCTCTACGGTTGAAGAACGTCCGCCCTTTTTGGAGCAACGAGAGAAGAACAGCGCTACATGAGTCAAGGGAAATATTATCGCAAAACAACTTTCTGAAGCAGCGTAACCATACTGCAGGTATGCATATCGCTGGTTTGTAATGTGCATTTTGTTCCACGGAGGTTATAATTAAGAAATCTGTCCGGGAAAAGTGTATTTTAATGCGCGGTTTGATGACGTAATGTTGATTGTCAAACGCGAAATGGCGAGTGTGCTAAGAGGCCCGTTACCTGCGACACTCTGGGCTTGTACCATGTTTATATCCTTCATGTTCCGGTATCTAAACGAGTACACGGGGCTATCCAGGCCTGGAGTGCTGGGCTTTGGTTGTCTATATCTCGAGTTTGGTAAATTCTTTTTTTTGTTCTTCTGTGGGATAGGAGTGTATGTTAGCAAGTTAAGCTAATGTCGAGCTGAACTAGCAAAGTTGTTAGCCAAATGAACACCCATGTGTGGGGTTGTTGGTTGAAATATGTGCCCGTCTTCTTGTGTGACAGGAAAGGGTTAGGGTTAGCTCTTAAAATTAGGCAGGGGCTACTTGTTTTATTTCACAAGGTAATTATCAGTTATCGGCTGGCGTAACGTTATACCAGCTTGTGATGTGGTTCTAATGGGCCCATACTTTGACTTTCTCTGTGCAATATTGTTGCCATGTAGAGTCTTTATTAAGCTTTGAACTTCAGATGATTTCCCCTCTGTCAACTGCGCTCTAAAACAGACAATTCAGCGATGCCTTGACCAAAATGTTAAATGCGTTAATTTTACATGTTATGTTATCTTTTTCTTTTTTTTCGAAATGTTGACAAACTTGCAGAGCTTTTAACACATGTGCGTCACTGATTGCTCACAAGCTTCTTCTCAAATCCCTATGTGTTTTTGTGTTGTCTCCTTCAGTGTTTGATGGTATTCAGACTTACAAAACTCGTGACTTTGTTATTATTATAAAATGACCTGTAAAGAGACATGTCAGGTCGGTTCCTTGTTGCCTGCAATGTAAGGTAGAAACAAACTGAGTAAGATAAGAGATGTGGGGTTGTGCAAGTGCAATGTGGGAATATGAATGAAGGGGCAGAACTTTTCTAACTGTTATATTTGAACAATGTGGGGTTCAATTGACTGCAGTGCAGTGGTTAATCAGAGGTTACACACTCAGATCTCATGTCAGTCTCAATGAGGTCATGACACACTATTTTGTTTATGTTGGCTATTTATTGGAGGTTTGATCATGATGTAAAACCCATGAATGAAAACTAAGTTATGGAGCCAGAAAATGCAGCCCTAAATATTAAATACAATTTATTTTAGGGTTTGTTTATCATCATTTAATTACACCAAATGTGATCTTATCTGTTTTTAAAATGCTTAAATCTCTTGTCTTTTGTCCTTTTTGAATTGAAAACAATTATGAAAAATGGATCTAGGAAGCCAGTTCAATCAAAGTACATTGTGAGGTGTGTGAGATTTAGCTTATAGCTGTGTTAATAATTGTATGTCCATCTTCCTCCATTCTGCATAGAAAAGGATAAGGTCAATAATGGCGGCGGAGGTGGAGGTGGAGCTGGAGGGCGATGAGTACCCAGCGCATTACAAAGTCATGATGGACAAACTTAATGAACAACGGCAGCTAGACCAGTTCACGGACATTACCTTGATTGTGGATGGTAAGTAGGCATATATACTGTATATAGCAGTTCATCTTTATGATTAAATCCTGAGCAATGTATTATATATGCATGTCTCTTGTCTCTTGCAGGACATCAGTTCAGAGCCCACAAAGCAGTGTTGGCAGCATGCAGTCAGTTTTTCCATAAGTTCTTTCAGGATTTTACCCAAGAGCCACTGGTGGAGATAGAAGGTATTATGTGTTTTAATCAAATAAAAGTAGTCCAATATATGTTAGTGTGTTTGTTAGTATGTTATACATAACAGCTTTAACTCACGAGTCCTGCTGTGTCTTGCTCTGACAGGAGTGAGTAACACAGCCTTTCGCCAACTGATGGAGTTCACTTACACAGCAACATTAGTTGTAGTTGGAGAGGAGGATGCCTTTGACGTCTGGAAGGCTGCAGAATACCTCCAGATGCAGGAGGCCATCAAAGCGCTCAACAATAAGTGAGTCCCACATGCAAACATTTTACCTATCACTACAGATAAGGCTTGCATTATTGTCACTATTAGAATTCAAAATATTTAATTCACAAATTCAGTAGTGAAAGATTTGAGGAGCTAGAAAATAATTGTTCTCAGGCCTTCTTTGTATAAACATTGTTACCTCTCAACAAGAGCTTCTCTGCTTCTGTAGGATACATGAAAATCCATCGCTGACGGCAAAGAGCAAAGGCAAAAAGAGGAAAATAGCTGAGACATCCAATGTGATTACAGAAACCCTCCCTTCAGTGGAAGGGGAACAGGTCAGTAACTTTGTGGTGGTCACACTCATGGAGATGTCATTCCTTGCAAAACAGTGGACAATAAGATCAGCTGAAATATCAATGCAATTTTCCACCACTAAGATGTGTTCTTGTTGGTACATCTATTTATTGTATGAAGTAAACACAAGTGGCCCTTACTGTGTCCATGCATTGGGCTGTAATGACTGAATGCTGTCTGTTCTCCAGATGGAGATTGAGGTAATAGGGGAAGGGGCCATCGAAGTGGAGGAGACTGGACTGGAGGAGGTGGTGGATGCAGCGAGGAATGCTCAGGCTTCAGATGACTCTGCTTTGGCCCTTCTGGCTGACATAACCAGCAAGTATCAACAAGGGGAACCTGCGCTACATATCATTAGGAAGGGAGGAATAGAGGAGGTTTGTTGATTTTTAATTGTACAGACCTTAATATAAGCTGAGTTTCATGTTCTTATGGTACATTAACTGTTAAACTATGTAAAGACAGTAAGATGGTATTAGATTTGAAAGGATGAACCCTACCTTCTCTATGTTTGTGCTTGGCAGGAGGTTGTGTATCAGGAGGAAACAGTGACTGCCTCAAAAGTGTTGGAGAATGTCGAGGTCGTAGAAGTCCAGATTTCCCAAGTGGACAACATGTTTCGCTGCAACAAGTGTGATCGAAGCTTCAAGTTATACTACCACCTGAAACAGCACTTGAAAACACACCTGGGCTCGCTGGAAAAAACCCACGTGTGCGACCACTGCGGGAAAGCCTACACGCGAGAAGGCGCCTTGAAGCAGCACATCAACACGTTTCATTTTGAAGCAGAAGAGCTGTCTCAAAACCAGAAACCCCAGAAGAAAGTACATGTTTGTGAATACTGTAAAAAGCACTTTGACCACTTCGGCCACTTTAAGGAGCACTTGCGGAAGCACACTGGTAAGAATGGAAATAAAGCTGGTTATGTTCAGTTCAAATTTAAGTGAGTACAATCTATAATAATGCATTGTTAATGTTTTATACATCAAGCATTGACATACATGTTTGGCTTTATATGTCCTATCTGTAGGTGAAAAACCTTACGAGTGTCCAGCTTGCCATGAGCGATTTGCAAGGAACAGCACACTGAAGTGCCATATGGCAGCCTGTCAGGATGGGGCCGGAGCCAAGAAGGGACGCAAGAAACTCTACGAATGCCAGGTACAGTTTGTTCAGTATCGAGGCCATCAAGTGCTGACCTGCCAGTGCGGCGTCTATAGTCAAAAATGTCCTGCTTCTTTCGCCTTGTATGTATTTATTTATTTACTTCACAAATACATAACACCCAGACATTCTGTGATATGATAAACTCATAATTGGTGTAATGAAGTTGGCACAGTTTTGTCATGCACTGAATTAAGGGGGAATTGATAAACGTAAATGTCATGCCTTTTTTTTTTTACAAAAACAACAATAGCGATATTAGTTATATTGAGATGATATTGTAGGTTGTGAGTTCGATCCCAGCCCAGTACGATCAACACGTTGATTTATCTTTTACCAAGATATTTACCCCTAGTTGCTCCTGAGGTATGAATGTGTGAGAATGTTAGCTTCCCTGAGCAAAAGTGGCACATTGCTCTGTATAATCGTGACATGTATGTAAAGAGTTTTGAGGAGTCGTCAAGAGTGTATAAGTACTTTCCATTTTCCATATACTCTTGCTGTTTCTACTAAATATTTTCACAATGAGATTTTTTTAAATATATCATCAGTAATGTAAATGTAATGACTAAATGGGCAAGGCAAATTATATATAAACAGCTAGAGCTCTGGTATGTTCAAAACTTGACATCACATTACTGTTATGAAACAGAAACGATAATGATAAGACATATCCAAATGTAAGATAATATCTATTCTCCTATCACAATACAAATATCATATTTAAATTATATTGCCCAGCCCTATATCTGACTATCAATGTTATTAATAAACTTGGTCCACCTGGCCGTTGTGCTTGACAGGTGATTTATTTATTTTTTACAGTCTCATTTGCCTCAGAGCTTAAAACAGTTATAATTATACAATTATTAGTTAAAAAATGTTGTTTTACTTGTTTGACAAATCAAGACATCTAATGACTTTTTTTCTCCATCATCAGGTCTGCAGTAGTGTATTCAATAGATGGGACGAGTTCAAGGACCATCTTGTGAGCCACACAGGCGACAAGCCAAACCACTGCACCATGTGTGACCTGTGGTTTACCCACCCCAAAGAACTAAAGACCCACCTCAAACACATGCACTCCATTGAGGACGACAAATCAATAGAAGAAGTAGTCATCACCGACTCTGTCGCCGCACTCGCCATCGCAACCCAGAGCATAGAAGGGACGGAAGCTGTCCTGCTGGATGACGGGATCCAGGTGGAACACGTCACAGTGGAGCCCGTGGACGTGATGGAGATGGAGGAGACTACGACAATGTTGGTGGAGGACGGAGGGGTGACGGAGATGTGTGAGGAGGACGTGGAAAGATTAAAGCAGGCCGGGGTGCAAATCCAGGTGGTGCATGTGACCACAACTGAAGTGGATGGGCAGCAGGTGGTGAACTCTCAGGTGGAGGTTGAGGTGGAGGGTGAAATGGTGAGCGTTGAAGCAGAACAAGCAGGGGAGGCATGAGAATGTGGACAGGACAGTGTTTTACAAGACCTGCAGGACACACTTTGAGTGCTGAACGACTTTCCTTTAGCTGACTTGTTTTCCATAAAGGACGCGACATGTGG